ATCCATCCATCCATCTATCCATCCATCCATATATCCATCTACCCATCCATCCATCCATCCATCTATCCATCCATCCATCTATCCATCCATCCATATATCCATCTACCCATCCATCCATCCATCCATCTATCCATCCATCCATCTATCCATCCATCCATATATCCATCTACCCATCCATCCATCCATCCATCTATCCATCCATCCATCCATCTATCTATCCATCCATCCATCCATCCATCCATCTATTGAATCATGCTACATTCTTTCACTGCTGTTAGGTCAGCTTCACCAACTCATCTGAGGCAGAGACGACGCCCACACCAAACGGGACGAGTTCAACTTCTGCAGTGAACGACCAGGAACACCTGTCTCAGAGTCCCACACAGTTACCGTCCCAAACAGAGCCAGTCAAAGCCAGTCCTCCAGGCCAGGAGACACCCAAGAAGACAAGTGTGGAGATCCCACAGGCCTTCAGCCCCTGTGGGGGACAGAAGGGACCCACAGGTGGTTCCACGGCTGCTGGGTTCTCCCGCAGTCCCCAGCCACTGCGGCCCAAGGCCCATACCTTAGGTGAGAGACTCTGCACTAGGGGAGGGAGAGAGAGAGAGTATTAGTATTAATGGTTTAAACAAAACTTTTTGTTAGTCAGTTGTAAAAAGCCATTTTAACACTTCTGACAGGTTTTTAGTTTGTCACAAACTACCACAGCGCCATCTAGTGGAATTTGTCATCCCCTGCAGACAGATTTAAGTTTGAAGAGATTATTTATTTTATATTTAAAAAAATAACAATCATTGCTTTATGGTAATCATTCCATCTATTGACACATTAAAACAAATGACATGATTTAAAGTTCCACACATCTCATCTCCAGGTTGTACTGGTGCAGTTGAGGTGAAACTGGGTAAAAACCGCACGGAAGCAGACCTGCGGCGCTACATTGACGAGCGGGACCGCTTAGAGAAGGAGAGGGAGGAGGTGCGGAGCAGCCTGGCAAACCTGAAGAAGGAGAAGAGGGAGGCCAAGGAGGAGCTGAGTGCCTGCCAAGGTTCAGATGCTGTGAACGTACAGTGCCGCGGCACCTGTGATGACGAAAACCAAGGTCCGTCTGACACTCTGATGTTTCTCTCAGACCCCAAGCAGCAGGCCGCGCTGGAGGCCTGTCTGAAGCAGAAGGAGGAGGCCTGCAAAGAGGCCGAGCACCGCAGGGTGGAGGTGGAGCTCCGCCTGGTGGAGGTGAAGGAAAGTCTGAAGAAGGTGGAGTCAGGGCCGTTCACACTGGGCACCACATTGGACAGCAGCCTTCAAGACACACCCACGGTGAGTGAGCCGCCTCGGTCTCAGAGGAACAGTGCTTTAATGGAACGACGGCTTGAGCGAGGGTGTCAAACATGCGGCCCGCGGGCCGGAATCAGCCCGCTAGGGGGTTCAATCTGGCCCACTTGATGGCACAAACATTACATGTTGATGTATTTCATTAAATGATTTCTTTTTTGCATGAAAACAAAGCTTATTACTTATTGTTAGTTGATCCTTTTCTTTTTTCTTAGATCTTTACTTGAGAATGCAAATACATTTTGTTGCAGGATACCGACTACAAGAAATGTCTCAAAGCAATAGTTTTACAGTAATATTATAATATTTTTTGGGCTCCTATCCTTTAGCTGTCCACTTGACAAAAAAAAAATAAACTAGTACAGTGAGAAAATAAGTACTGTAGCGACACTGAGAATCTCCTTCCGTTCTCTTACCCTCAGACTAAAACCGCATCTCTGCCTACTCCCCAAACATCGTCATCATTTCTATCGTCACCATCGCCGTCATCATCATCGTCTTCGTCGTCCCAGAACTCGTGCAGCAACCACAGTGCCGATCCAGCCTCGCCGGTTAACTCTGCCTCGGCGCTAAAGAGCAGACCGACCTCAATGATGAGCACCAAGGGCAACGTCCTTCAGAAAGCCAAGGTGAGGCCGGAGGTTCCTGAAAGACAAAGCCGCATCATGAATCACATTCTGTTACCGCCTCGTTTCACATTTGCAGGAATGGGAGAAGAAATCATCCACTTAGGAGAAGGAAACCTTTGGTCCTCAATGTCCTGCCAAGTTTGAACGGTCAACATCCCTCCCCCTGCCTCCTCCGGATCTTTCATCTTCACCACCTTCTTGCCAAAGTCTACGAGGGGGAGAACATAGCAGCAGGGCACAAGCTGTGTTTCCAAATACCACTGGATCATATTGGATTTAATGACTTTGAAAGTTCTAGTATGTTCTTTAATTGCTTGAAGGAGGAATTTGAAGTAGCGTTTTGGCCAGTCTAACAATTGTTCTTTATCATGCCAAATATGTGAACCCACTGCGGTGGGAGACCTGCGTACAGAAGCCCCTTTACTTTAATGGCCTATTTGTACACTTCTTGTAGCTTGGTTCATATATGCTGGTAGCCAAGATGTAAATATATTTACACCATTACTTGGCCTTTTGGCTTGTATTGCTAGCTAGACATGCACTTTTTATTCAAATAAAAATGTTAGAAAAAAGTTGACTGTTTATATACATTTACGATTGCTTCACATAAAAAAAAAATCAGGTGTTGTAATCTTAATTTCAGATTGTTTTTTTTATGTATACTTTTTAATCCTACCATCGCGCTACATTACATTTGAATAGCAGTAGAATATGGTTTGTCAAAACACAACGGTAATTGATGAATTTTTAGTATATTATTAGCACAATTTAAAAGCAATACATGGCGTGTATTTACACAACAGATGAAAAAAACCCTGAAGTCTAAAAAGAGATTTAAACGAAACAAACCTGACGCAGAGGTTTCACAACTCATACTTCATTATCCATGGCAAAATGGTGCAGAAGATGTGGGTTCAAATCCCCGCCTTTTAAGACACATTGTAGTTGTTAACTGTCAACCCCGCATAAACTTTTTTTTAGTACTATAAAACAAGGACTGTAATGAATGGACAATAACAAAGTGACGCAGATATACATATATGGTATAAAAGTTTACATCTTTGGTAACATACGAGGCAGCAGTCGAGACATACAGTTAGGAGGCACCAGGTGCGGTTTAAATAATTAAACATCCATTTTCCCTTTCATCCAACGACACCAACGTCCTCAGTTCTCAAGAGTCCACGAGTTTAAAAGTTACTGTGAATATAATGTAATGTGTGTTGACGTATGTCAGGCAGCGTGCCTCCGGCGGTGCAGTTTGTATTGATGCAGCAGCTCCTGGTGGCTTTTCTTCGGTCGGACTTTTCTTCTGAGACCAGCGGGCCTTGGGAGATCTCCCCTGGTTGAAGAACTCCGTCTTTCTGCAAAGCAAATCAGAAAAAAAAAAGAATAGCCACCAGGGGGCAACAGTTAGTGGTTGCAAGGAAAAGGTTGTTGACTCAGGAAGTAGGTAAATACACATTCATGAGTTTGTGGCCTCCAGCTGTGGGTTTTCATTAACTGTCAAGAGGTCCAGCTGTGGGTTTTCATTAACTGTCAGCTCTGTCAAGAGCTCACTAACCAGCAGTGATCACTGAGGAACATTCTTTCCAGATTTGTTTAACATCCCAGGGATAATTTTAGAAAATCAACAATAACACTACAGCCTTGACGACGACCCCTGCAACAGTACGTTAGAGAAATCTTTCTTTAAATCTAAGAAATCAGAGAAAGGTGTTAAGAATGAAAAGGAGAGAAAGGTTTTTTATTACAAAAGACACTGACTTTTTTCACAGTGCGGTCCTTCGAAGCCCCGGCACTGGCAGCGGAAGCTCACCCCCGACAGGATGCACTTGCCATCGTTCATACACGGGTTTGGGCTGCACAGGTTTACTGGCTTCTTTATTTCTGATTGATAATGAAAAGACCATAGAAAATATTTATGTCAAAGGAATACGTTTTTTGGGGGTTTTTTTTTTCATGTGGTTGAATATGTTTTTTTGTTGTTTTTTTTTTCATGTGGTTGCACAAAGTACTAACACAAACAAACAGAGAGAACATGCTGCAGGGAATTCTACAAAAACATTCTACATTGTACATACTACAACATGCTTTAACATAACATAGCTTTTGATAACATGTTTATATGACATAATCTAACAGGAAGTTTGTGTAGTTTTCAATATTCAATACTCTCACCCATGTTGCTCAAATCAGACAAAAAAATGTTTTTGTACTAGCAGAGAGGAGTACAGTAGTTGACCCAGTGCTCCCTTCCTCAGGAAGTTCATGTCTTATTTTGTAAGCGACCTGCTTTGTTTGGCTTTATTCAGCTATAAACAACTAAACCAACTGTGGACAAGGACTTCCTGTATCTGGGAGATGTTGGAGGAGGGCGTTTTTAAACTTTAATCCATTGATGGTAAAGAAAACAAAGCCTAAAAAATGAAATAAAATTAAGTAGATTTCATCTAGTTCACAGGTTGGTTTATACATCTGTCAGTGTGTGTTTTTTAGCAGCACTCCAGAATGAAACATACATTTGAATCTATTTAATGTATTCATTTCAATGATTTTTAAAAAAAATTTCCAGAATTCCTTTCCTACTCACCAGAACACAGCATCTGCACCAGGACGTCCTCAAAGTACTTGAGGTCCTCATAAGAAGGTGCAGTGATCATGTGCTCCTCTGATCCCACGACCTGCAGGAGCTTCTCCCTCTGGACATCTCCAGTGCCGACCACAAACAGTGAAACTCCGTTGTCTCTTATCTTCTGCGCTGGCACCACAGCGTCCCCTGCACCCGAACCGTCAGTGAGCACCACCACGGCCTTGTTGACGCCGGGTCGCGCCCCTTTGGCCACAGTCAGAACATGGGAGTGGATGTGAAGTAGAGCGGCGCCGGTGGAGGCCGCTCCGCCCTGGTAGTTAGCGTCGCCCACCGCCTTCAGGATGGCGGAGCCCGTCTCGTAGGTGTCCAGGTGAAAGACGGTGGTGGGTCTTCGTCCGTATACCACGAGTGCCACCTGGGCCACGTCGCGGTTGATGTCGAACTGGACAGTTAGGGTACGTATGAAGTCCAGCAGGATGGAGAAGTTGTCCGCGCTGACGCCACCTGAGGCGTCCACAGCAAACACCAGGTCGACTGCCTGGCCAAGGCAACCTGGAGGAAGAGTAAATGTTTTTTGGGGAATTTTTCCACACAGTTGTATGGTCTAAATTTGCTACTTCACTACTTTTAGTTTTTTTTTATTTTGAATATTTTATTCGAGGCAGGTCGGAGTGGTATTAGCTAAGAAGTAATAAATCAAAATCTAAGATTTTGACGGCGTAAATCATCACCTTGTTGGTCCACGCTGCAGATTTTGGCCTTGAGCTCAGGAATCTTGGCATTCAGCCTGTCAGGTAATGAGTAGGTGAGAGTCCTTTGGGGATTTCCTGTGATGTTGTTCAGCTGTTCTTTCAAGAATTCCGGTCCCACCGCTATAAGAAAGATCTCTCTGTCCCTTGCGTATTTAGAAGGCAGTACCACCTCGTCGGCAGCAGGGGTGGCAGTGAGCAGCACCACCACGCGCGGGAGGTCGTCCGCGACGTCGGCGAAGATCGGTGCACTCAAGAATCCGTGGCGTGTGACGTAGCGCAGCGCCTGTCCTGTGTTGGTTTCACCGCCGATGGACTGGAGGGCCTCCACTCCCTTCAGCAGACCCTTCAGGTCCTTCTTAAATTTACCAACCTGGGCTTCGACACGGGTCTCCCCACCGAACACGGCCAGGCCGACTTTACTGGGGGTGTCAGGACCGATCACCGTCTGCAGGAAACGCTTGAGGAAGGACTTGAGGCGAAGGAAACCGTCCACGGTAAGAGTGGCAGAGCCCTCCAGGAGGAAGAGGAGGTCCACAGAGCAGTCCAGGGATAAGGCCGGGGCTGAGGGCAGAGAGGGCAGGGCTCAGGTTGGACTGATAGTGGAGGTGTTTTACAGTTAATTACATAGAGATCCATTCTATAGATAAGCAGTGCTCACTCGCTGCAAACCTAAGCTGAGACAATAAAGGTGAGTAATACACATACAAACATGTACATTTGACTAAGTATTATTTCGTGTAATAAAAAGTACTAGAAGATTATGGAAGTAAATGTTCGGCGTCTAATTTTGAATTTCTAACCTAGAAGATTATGGAAGTAAATGTTCGGTGTCTAATTTTGAATTTCTAACACTGACACTTTCTAACTGATTTTTATTACACTTAATTTTTCAAAACTTAAATTTTTTGACAATTTTTTTGGACAGATTTTATTATTTTTTATTTTTCAGATGTTGAATTTCTTTATGCTGATTCTTTTTTAGAATTTTTTAAGATTACTTTAACATGTTGAATTTTTAAAAATTGAGACATTGATTATTTTAACACTGAAATGACTTCAACATCAAAATCAGATAATTAAAAAATGTCTGATTTTGGAAAAAATTCGAAATTCAAACCCTGGATGGCACACATCACACACATTTTTCCTTGCAATGTGTCTAGGAGTAAGCAGGTTTTACGTAGTTTTCACTTTTCAGGTAATGTGTGCAGGCAGGATGTAGAATACACTCTGGTTTACTGTTTCTATCAGTATAAAACAGGAGCATAATTTAAAGGGTACGAACAACAGTGGGGGTCTCCTTCGTAGCCAGGAGGACACACACAGTGGTAGTCCTCTGGACCCTCTGATACACAGGTTCCACCATTCAGGCACGGCTCAGAGTCACAGGGGTCTGGAGAGACGTAAACAAAATGTTTTGTAAAAACATTATTACTCCAATGTTTAAATATTAAAAATTGGTTGTAATGGTTATAGTAAAAAAAAACATGATCGATGATGGTATTTAATTACAATAGAAATATTGCAGACTAATGTTACATATATAAGTATATATTATAAAGGCTGGGAGTCGATTCAAATTTCTATCAGATTATCATATTAAGAGAGAATAATTAATTTTCAAGGTACATCGTTATTCCTTAATAAGATTTTTTTTCTTCATATTGCTGGAGCAGAAAAACAAACATAAAGCATTCAAATATCAGCATTCAGACTCAGTATGGTTATCACCTGGACAGATGGTCCGATGGCAGACTGTCTGGTGTCGTCTATAAGCCCTGTTGTACCTGCAACAGAGATTCGGTCGACCAGTATGTTAGCATTCGGTGAGTTCTGAAGAACCGTGACCGTGAAAGTCACGTGTGCATGAGTGTGTGTCGTACCTGTAGTAAGGACACAGCGATGTGTACGGGGAAAATCCTTTGCTGCCTTTCCAACACATGAAATTTCCCTGCAGCTCCTTGACCGTCTCCAGGGTCTTCCTCTCACAGAGGAATGACTCCACGCGACAGCCTAGACAGTAACCGGTTTACAAAGAGACAGGAAAGAGAACCGGGTTCATTTCAAGACTTCTAACCTTAGTGTTTGATGCTTATTTTGAGGGATTCAAAAGATACTTTGAATAAGATTTCTATGTATCTATAAACTCATGTCTATTGTTGTTATTTGTTGGTTTTTAACGACGAAGTTTCCTCGTATGGTCACATGACATGACATCAAACCCATGTGTTTCCTCGTATGGTCACATGACATGACCTCAAACCCATGTTGTAGAGCATGCATGGGCAAACTAAGGCCCGGGGGCCGGATGGGGCCCGTTCATCTTTTTAATCCGACCGCCAAACTTTTCCAAATTATATAATTTATAATATCATAATACTTCTGCTTTATCCCTGCAATACCCATGTTTCCCCAATAGATGGCGTAGAAAATGATAAAAGCATTTTAGCTAATTATCCTTTATGCATGAGTTTTACATGTAATCTATCTATCTGTTTGTGAGTCAAAAAGTATGCCCACGCCTGTCGTAGAGTGTATATTTATCTTTAGTGATGTCACTGAGTCCCACCTGTGGGTGTGGCGTTGCAGACAAAGAAGGTGCTTAGCGTGGTGTAGAGGCCGTTGACAGCATCGTAGAAATGTTCGGCAAAGAACACGTGGTTCTCCACGGGCTCACTGGCCAGCGTGTGTAGCTCCTCCCACCTGTAACACAGGCCAATCAGAAATCAGAAGTAGAGTCACTGTTTCTAAAGTAGAAGGAGAAAAATTTGATACCTGGGGTAGCGCAGACCGACGGCAAACAGGACCACGCCAGTTTCTTTGAGTTGTGCGGCCGCCTGCACTGTGTTGCCCTGGGACATCCCATCAGACAGCAGGATGGCGATGCGGGCCACAGGGGACGAGGAGTTGCGACCGCCCGGGAAACCCTTCCTCAAAACGTATTTCAGAGCTAGCCCCGTCTGAGTGCTGCCCCCTCTGTGGGTTCACAGGAAGAACGTTTTTTTACAAACAAAGAATCCATGTAGAATAAAAATACCCCTCCACCAGGGTAAACCTTACAGGAAGTCACATGTCGCGACGGAGTGACATGTTTGAACGCAATGTTATCAACCTTTTCCTTCCCTTTCTTTGTGGACTGGAACTCCAGGAAAACTTGGACTTGAATCTCCAAAAGTGTTATTTTGTACGGAGTTATTTTGGGATAAAGATAGTAAACAGAGACCCCGCGGTTTCCTCTCCTTCCTCTGCAGATGATGCTATGAATGCATCACCTTTAAGGGTTGGTTGCACTAGGACAAAAGTCAGATCTTATAATAATGGATGGATGATTAATGATGATTCATAAATCACAATAAATTACAATTAATCTTGATTAATTGTGATTAATCGAGAGGAATCCACGTATATATAAAAATAAAAGACAGATTAAATGTAAATAAAAATTCTGCTGCGAGTCATAACAGTGGAAGAAGTGAGGAAAAAAAAAAAACGCACCTGTAGGAAACTTTTTTCATGTGCTTCTTCAGCTCCTGCTTTGTGGTGTATGCGTCCAGAGGAAACTCCAGTCGAGGCGTAGAGCCGAACTGAATCACACCGACTCTGACCTTGGACAAGAGGGAGAGATTGATATTCACTTAAAAATAAAGTACAACAGGACAGGAAGACTTTATCTGTGGAATTCTCAAACCGCATCAAACCTTGTCTGGTCCAATGTCGAGGGTTTGACAGAGTTTGAGCGCGTAGTGTTTGGACCTTTCAAAGCTGCTTTTGCCCACGCTGTAGGAACCATCCATGAGGAAGAGGACGTCCATTGCTGCTGAACATCGCATCACTACGATTGGAGGGGGGGGAAAAAGTCATTTGTTTTCATCAAGATATGCGAAACAACGATGACTGTAAAACACTTGTAAGTGTTACTCGTAAGTGTCACACTGTTTGAGGAGCAAAAGAGTGATGTTATTTACACTACTTCTCCGTAGACTACACACTATAATTATGTTGAAATATGTCTGAAAAAATATGTCTGGAAACGTATCTGCTTCAAAGGAGCAGAACTTAACACTTAACGTGTAGCATGAGTGTAAAGTAAAAAAATAAATAAAACTAGAATAAATCATCCTCATGGCAGGGATCTCAAACTCATGGCCCACTGGCCACTTTAGGCCACCAACCATATCTGGTACCTGTTTGTTTTTGTTTTTTTAATAATTACGTTTTACCCTTTGCATTATTTTTTATTAATTTATTTTCAGTTGTTCATTCAAGAATGAGAGAACAAAAATATTTGTACCAGCTGCATGTCCTGTAGTATTATAAAGCAAATACTATACATGTATAATTAACAAAGAGTGGAGTATCATACAATACTTGTGAAAGTCAAAAAAAATGATTTTTTAATTTTTTGGTATGGAGCATTGGACACTGATGCGGACCTCCAACAAAATACAGTTGGACACCCATGTTTGACAGTTACGGATTATTTTCTTAATATATAATCATGATATTAATATTAGCCAAAAATTATAATAATATTTTAGCCAATTTACAGATAAAAAAAATTCAAAATAGTTAGAACTTTAATAACCCAGATTAAATTAATTATTAAGATAATACAGCATCCACATGTAGTCCACAACTAATAGTATTTAGTTAATAAACATTTTAAATATTTGGATTTGTCATTTAACCATTAAAATCTCCACTTTATTTTCAGTGACCTCAAAAACTCTCTCAAAAAAACGCCGGGATGCATGACTCCCAAAAAGAGTGTGTCCTGTTTCGTATCCATTCTATTATGGGATTATCTTGGTGAGGTTTCCAATTTCCAATTGTTGAAGGGTTAAAAAAAGCACAACCTACGTTTAGGTAATAAAAGAAAAGACATCAGCATACCAGAGCATGATTTTCTCTGCTCCAAAACCATTACTAAGCAGAAATCCTCCCCACTTGTCTGCAGCAGGTTTGTACTCGCCTGCAGCGAAAATAACTGTCATGTTAGAATGTGCAGCAGATCAGGAGGAGGCCATTAGAGCGGGCCTCATCTGTTAGTGTTTACCTCGGTTAATCTCACGCTCCTGAGTGTGATAACTGACTGATGGAACTCATCCACAATCACTAAGTTATAAGCACTTTTAAACAGAGATCATCCCAGAACCTTACACCTCACGGGGGATTTTTTTAAATTCAAAAATTATCTGTTCACAAAAAGATAACGGCATCACACATTGCATTAGCAAAATAGTTTCTTGCGGCTGTGTTCTCCAGACTGTGGTTTTCATATCGTACTCACTCTCTCCTGCTGAGTTGATTTTTAAGATGTTCTCATGGCTGGTTTGGATCTCCTGCACCGTGTAGCCCTGCTGGACTGGAAGAGAATAGCAACTTGGTGGTGAGTCATTCAAGGGTTAATGTTAACTGGATGTACTGTATAAAAAGAGAAATATTACAAAAGTACAATATTTGACAGTTCAGGAAGAATTCTAGTCCCACTGTGGCCACAAATCTGATTCTTAACACTATACATTTAAAAAAATCTCTTTAAATAAGTCGTAAATATTATTCAGTATCAACAAAAAAAAAACAACATACGAGATGCTGATTTCACATGGTAATGATGATGTAATTTCTCACTGAGCGTTTTTTTTCGCAGTACTCATTTATCGACATCGTATTTGTCTGACAGCAGCAGAAAAGACAACAAAAAGAGGGGGGGAAAAACCCTAAGATTTGGATGGAAATCTGTCCAAAGAGGCTGACTTTCAAATATATGAAGCGCAACCATTGCAAACAGCTACAGTAAGGCTTAATTAAAGACTGACAGAACCTACCTGATGTTTATTTCTCCTACGGGACATGTTCCCTGATTTATCTTGTAAACAGACAACCTTCTATGCAGAGGCCGCGGTCTCTAATTTCCTCTAAACGCAACAGCTTTGAAGCTGTTATTTTGAGCTTCGGGAAAATATGCATTGCGCTGTGTATAATGTTTCCAGCCGTAAACAAAACATGTTCCAGCACTATGTGAAAGAATGAAATAACCCGACTGTGATTTAGGGAAAAATATAGGAAAGAAAAAAAAGAACTCACTATCAAGTTAAAGTGTCATCTGCCCATATTTACAACCACATTTTATGCAAGAATTGCATTATGCGGGAATTTTCTCTTATGCGGCTTCTTCCGTTGTCAGTGGGCCTCAGCAAACATCATTTAAACAATGCCTGTTTAGCATCTAAAGCTCACCATCACGCATCAACTGAGCAAGAAGTACTACAGCATGCACCGAAACGTGTTTTTGTGTGTGATTTGGCAAGAAGTACTACAGCATGCACCGAAATGTGTTAGATTTGTGTGTGTCAGCATAGGAGTAAAAAGTGGCCGCCCTGACAAGGTGAAAAAAAAAGTCTGGTTTGCTCAGGTTCAAAGTCTTAACATGGCCAGTAATAAATACTGCAGATGGTGCTAAAGCCGTCATTTTTGAAAACATCTTAAAGATCATATCCCCGCCCGACTCCTGCTTCTGCCCTGAGGTGAATACCAATACCCTTCGGTGTGAGAGCACGACCAACGATGTGCTATAAAAGCCATGTAAAATCTGGCCCGCTTGAAAACGGCCAGCATTTTAGGCACAGGAGGCAGGACAGCACTTTTAATAGGGTTGAACGGAAATACTTCAGCACCGGCTGGAAGAGACAACGTCAAAGCACTTAAATTAAGCATTTAAAACCCTTTAAAATATAAAATAGAAATTTGAAGACCCCGTCACTTATCACAACAATGCTCATGATCATTTCAGCCAGCTCAGAGGCCTAGAAGAGTAGATGCCACAACAACACACAAACACACTGACCTTGGAGAAGAAGAAGCAATGTGAAGAAGAGGGACAGTTGGATATTGAGGTGCATTCTGGGATACCTGGAATGGGCAAAAAAAAAAAGGCATAATTAGAAATGAACGACATAATGTGTGCAGAATTATAGCAGTGTTTTTGTTGTTGTTGTTGTTTACCGACATTATACTATTGGTAATTGTACTTGGAGTTCCCCATTACTGCTTTTATAGTATTTATACAGTCACATAACTATGGCGGAAGCAAAAACAAACAAACAAAAATTTTATAAAATGTTTTATCTAAAATTAAAGTCAGGTACAGATTCAATCTCTAACCTTTGTTTCACGAAAATTTAGCATCTCTCTTTTAACAATGTTACATTTTTGATTATATTCAATTAACATTAGTATTTTCTAAAATAATTTTAGGTATTTGTAAAATATTTTAGTACTTGCATACGTCAAGGACTTGTCCTTTTGGGACAATGAGTGATATTTAAAACTATATATACATACAAACATACATACATACATATATATATATACATATATATATATATATAGCAATACAGAGACTCTACATAACAACCTGTTTTCTTAGACCATTCTGACAAAGGTCTGTCTATTAAATAATGATCCAGAGGAACAGGTGCAATTCTCAGATACTGTGCAATTTCTTTTCTGTGGCCTTGAGGAAACATATTTGAGATACCATTCATTTCTTGTATATTTCTGTTTTGGTTGCCCAGAAGACACATATTATCCTGCTCCGTGGCTTTATTTTGTTCATACATAGTAAAAATGTATTTTTTGTCATTTAAACACGCTTTATCAACACATCGCGATGACTGCATTTGAACTGAAGAATCACTATGGCTACTTTCGTCATTGTTTTGAATACGAAGTCTCATGTCTTCTGGGCTGGTGTGTCAGAAGAAATGTGTGCACATGTGACCTACGTGTGCGTAGGGCAGACCTGCCAGAGAATCCGTCCCCAGTCATTTAAACACGCTTTATCAACACATCCCGATGACTATCCGAGAATCCGTCCCCACAGGTAAGCTTGTGTGTACTTCTAGGACAGAGATAGGATTGTGTGCAGAATAGAGTTCCCTCATTAGAGAAGTGTGTGTGTGTGTGTGATAGAGATCTACAGAGCAGGTATGCAGGTGGTATGGGCTGATAAACATCACCTGGGACTATATTAATGATGCGTGCGTGCACACTCGCTGCTATGTCTACAGATTTCATTACTTCCATGGGCTCTCAATGTGTGTGTGATGCACACGGGCACAGGCGGACGCAAATGGACACGCAAACAGGAAGAGGACGTCATGCATGCCGACACATACGGCAGATAAACAGTGTACGTTACACACGTGTGCACTACACACACTCCCGCATGTACCTCTGATGCTTGGCAGCCTCTTGACAGACAGATTTCTGCATCATTCCTGCCTTCATCTTTCTGTCTCCCTGTGAACAAACCCCTCTTTCTACTGCGGCTGAGAAAACCAGGAAGTTGAATCCTAACAGTTGAATCACTGACTCATTTAATATATTAGCATCATTTTGTACCGAGAAGTCAAACAAGAGTGCGTTTACGTAAGTAAGAAAGCCTGCGGAACAAATTTCCTCTTTTGTAGCTCCATCTGTCACCAGTCTTGCTTTATAGTTTATTTTCCATTAAACATTTAAAAATAAAGAAAAAATCTTCCGCAATTTAATTAAATTGGAATTAGACCGGTTGCATATTCTAATTCTTTATATATATATTTTTTTAAAACAATGCAATCGCCCCTACTGGTGGCATATTGTTACCTCATACTTCCTACTGTCCCAAGACGTTGTTGACACCTGACATGGTAGCAGCAGTTCAAATTTATTACAGGGGTCAAATTATTTCCTGGCTGAACTTCTGCTCACTGAGTTCCAGCTGTTTCCTGTCAAATATGTCTGTGCCAGAAAAACATACACAAGAATCTGAAGTGAAACTGAACAGCCTGTTATACCATGGGATCAGATAAACTTATTTTATGAACATGTTCTGACTTTAAATGTCTTATTTGAGTCAGTCAGAGACTACAACCTGAAGTGTTCTCATTTCTTTACCTTCAAAATTCAGACCCTGAAAGACTCGACCCCCCCCCCGCCCCCCCCTATAAACGGATGAATATTGACACATTCCTTAAACTAAAAGCACTTTTACAAGGAACCAAATAGGACCTCCACCATGAAGGTGCCGTCTGTTTTGAATTGGGGGTCTGGCTGGAGAGTGCCTCTGCTCCGTGGTCTGTCATTAGAAAAAGGGTGCGAGCTTTAGGGCCAACTCCACACAAGACTCTTGTTTCTTAACCTGTACTTGGAGGTGTGCTGCCTTGGCTTCCATCCTAACAGTTAAAATGTCTGCAAAATGACTCACCGTACGCATAGCCAGGTTGAAGACAAATGGGAAATAAAGGTAAAAAAAAAAAATCATTTTACCACACAAGATACAGGCAGGTGTGGAATATTAAGCCATGTCTCAGTGTAATTTAAAATTCCTAACTGTGTGTTTGGATCATGTTCCAGTAAAGACAAACAGGTAGGCACATGTGGGGGAATATTCTATTAGAAGATGATTTGAACGTGAGAACCACCGAGGGAAGTTGAAACTGGTGCTTTAGTTTGTGTTGGAATCCTGTGAGCTACAACTTTGTATTTCTCCAATGATGAAGACATTAGCAGTACAGCTTCCTCCCATAGAATATCTGCAATTTTAACCCAATGCTCAAAAGTGCATTTCCATTCCACCTGATACGAGACTCTGTGCTAAGAAACACTTAGACAAAAGGTTTTATTTTTAGAGTTTGTTCTTGCAGATTCCCTCATAACAGGACTTCTATGGACACTCCTAAAACAGTCAACACAACTTTAAGAGGGGTCAAGGGTCAAGACCTTGTCATGCAACAGTGGGCATGGTTTACTCTAGAGGCTGAACACAATGACAGGCGGCTCACTTCGGCATTCATCACTTCAGGAGGATTTACCTTTAATCTACTGGAAGACCAAGTTGTCACTTTTTAAAGTGTAGTTTTTGACACTGGGAGATAAATCACCAATTGGTAGTTGGTGCATCACTGGTGTGAATATATTCAAATTAATCCCTTTGGAAGCATGTGTTGCTAAGTTAGAAAACAAGCGATAGTAAACAAAAGCATCATCATCATCATCATCTTCCTACCAGGCAGTGGTTCAGTCAGCTCTCAGGGTCTGCTCCTCTCTGCTCCTCCGTCACCGTTTGTTTCCTCACCAGTGAGATCTCCTCCAGACAGGAGAGCAGCGTCTCCACCTACTCACCACGCCCCCCTCTGGTTATCCTGTTGCAGCAGCCGTTCAGCTGGCCCGTAAGGCCAGGTATGGAGATGAGGAGGAGGAGCCGAGAAGTGGTGCAAAAGAACATAGTTATTACATTTTTTTTTTTTTTGTCTTTTCAATAATCCACAGCTACAATGACATTACTCTTTAAGTGCTATGAAATGTTTTGCAATACCTTTCTGTGTGCCTTCCTTATAACTTTGTGCAGCCCACAACAGGGTCTAATGAACAGTACACATTTCTGTCTTGTAGTCAAAATAATCCACAAACCGTTTTCAGAACTCAACTTTAAGAATTATCGGCTGAGAACAGTAACATATACAGGTAATATATGACAAATAAAAGTTCAATACAGGCATAGTTCACAAGAACTAAAACATAAAAAACAAAGTTGGGATTATATGTGTTATTGCAGAACAGTACTTTTGACCCAGGTACATAGTTTGTTTTATTTGTTTGTTTTTTTTTACCATGAAATGATTACACAATATCACGGTAAAAACACTGATTCATTGGTCAATACAGAACCAGTGTTCAGTCGAGCCATCAACCACTTGGACAGCTTCATCAACTCCTGCTCGATGTGATCGATCTGTGAACAACAACAACAACAAGAAGTAAATTGTACTTCCTAATAAAACTGATACAAATGATATTAACGACATTAAAACAAATGTTTCTTTACTTGTTTGTCACATGTAAAATACTGTTGACATTGGTGAACTGCTTGCTGAACTAGTCACATGGCAAAGAGGCATTCAACTGAAGGCAAGAAGATTTTTATGACAGTATATTGTAAACATTTATGCTGGTGTTATGAATGACAGCTCACCTTTGTCTCCAGGACTGGACAGCAGCAATGACAGGAATGAGGATCTGGGATGTAGAACAAAATATATGGTTCAAGGTCATAAATAAGAATGAGGATCTGGGATGTAGAACAAAAAATATGGTTCAAGGTCATGAATAAAGCTTTTTTTTTTTTAATCTTTTTTTTTTTAAAGCACTAATACAAACCGTTATTTTGCACATTCACTGTCACTTTTGGCTCGTTTTGCTTCATGTGCTGCAGGGAAACATCTGCCAAAACAAAAGACAACTGATGCCCCAACTAAAACATGAATTTTAATTACATCAATAGAAGGTAAAAGTGTAACAACGTAAACAGTGATTTCAGCTAACCTGGCAGAGCAAGCTCTGCAGAAGTGTCTCCGTCCTGACGTCCAGATGTGCCAGTTCCAGCCGCAGTTGTGGTTTGAGGGCAGTGAGGGTCACCTGAGTTGCTGCTCTTAGGTGAGCTGCTGTCACTCTGCTCAGAAACCTCAGGGGAGCTCAGACCACCATTGCAGCTGTAAAGGGTCTGCACTGCATTCACTACGAGAGCCAAGACGTCCCCTCCGCCGCTCTCAGCTGACAGAGTGAGCGACACCACGTTAGAGAACCCATCAAAAGACTGGACGGTGCAATGGGCGCAGTTCACCAGCGTAGATCGAAACATTAGCTTCACCTCTACTGGCCAGTCCATAGGAAGAGGCTTCACACCTAGAGAAGAGTGAAGGAGGAAAGGAAAGTTTGGGATTGTTCGGGATAATAGTTCAGAAAGTCGGTGAAAGACACCTTTTTTTTCTTACCAGCAAGAGAACAACGAATAATGACAAAGGGAAGCTGCAGTAAGTGTGGAGGGATGGGCAGGATTCTGGAGAACGGGACCGTCTCAGTGTTGCCAAAATCTGCATAGACGACACTAATCTCATTCTCTCCAACTTCTAGAATCACTGCACGGTACCATTTATTGTCATCTGAAAAAGAATTTACAACAGTTTTAATCATAACTAAAAAACTAAAAATATATAACATTATTACAAGTTGTAATAATCATGCAAACCTGGGGGGTATCTTTTATCAGTAAAAATATAAAAGTATAGCAAGAGACTTAACTGTTATTGCTGAGATCAGGCCAAGGTCACACCAAGTCATGGTCACATTTTTGAAACAATATTTTTGATAATGTATTAAAACAGTCACGATATTGAAAATCAAAACTGGAAGACGACTTAAGTCAGAAAATGAGTTAGTAGGATAAAAACCAATGGTGTAAAAGTAAGGCCAAACACAGACATTAACAATGTTTGATGTAATTTGGAATTCCATTATTGTGTCACCGTTCAATGGCGAACTTCTTCTTCTTAAGCCGTTTCAAACTCTTGAGTCCCTACTCTTGAGTGTCACACAACTCAAAAATAAAAATCTCAATTCAGGAAGAGCTTTTTTCTCAGATGTTTTATGAAATAAATCAAAAAAAAAAAAAATACTCTGGCACACTGTATACCCCTTCACTCAGCTGAGTTCATGCTGTGTAATTATGTGTACCTGCAGACACCCAATTACCAGCTCAGCTCTGCAGGAGCGGCAACAGCAGGTGAAGAGTCTCAAGAAGTGTTGGAACTGGAGGAGAGATTTTGTAATGAGGCCTGTGTTTGTGAATGAAAAGATAAGATGCTGACCAAGCGTGACGCAGATACGCAGACAGATATTCTCCACGCACTCCATATTTATGAAACACTGCGTGTAATCTGTTAAACATACCGGAGTGTGAGTGTGTGTTTTTGAACAATATTGCTCTTATATATCAATAAAATGAAATCATACAACCAGGGTGACACCTTCAAAACAGGAGTGAAATTACCTTTAACCAGTCTAGCATTTATCATTTTGACTTGGGAACACAAGGAAACGTCGGAGGGAAAGGTAAACTTGATCTTGTTGAAGTTTTACAATTATTAGCCACAATTTTACTTTGATGAAATGTTTACTCACAAGAGAACTGAGCGCAGCAGGCAGCCCCGGGAGATGCTCTGATCGCAGCGGCTGAATACTTCGAAACCTGCTCACTGCTGCAATAGGCTGCAATCTCCTCCATCAGCAGCTGGAGCTTCTGTTGGTCGTCTGTAAAAAGAAATAATTAAAAAAAAATTTAAAAACTACATCAAGATGAAAAGGATTTCAAACTCAAACGTGTTTGAGAGCATAGAAGCAAAGTGCAGTGACCTGGACTGGTAACAAGCAGGTAGAAGAGGGAAGGACTGATTACAGCTACAACGTTGGGCTTAAAACTCTCCTTAAGAGGAAGCTCCAAGGTCTTCCAATCCTCTTTAAAAGATGGAGCTGGAAATAGATTTTAATCACAATTTTAAGGTCGATTTTAATTAGAACAAGGCAAATCGTTCTGTATTAGACAAATCCATCAGGTCGATGGACACATGCTATTAGCACTATTACTGACCTTCTGGTGGCAGGGGTGCCTGTGCTTCATTTGGCGGCTCGTTGGTGCTTGTCGGGTTGGATGCCTGTGATTGTATTTCTCTATCCTCATTTTCCCTTGTGCTTTCCTTGTTCTTCGCCACACAGCCAGTGTTTGCAAACGTGACCGTTGAAAGCGCTTTGCAATCTTTGCTTAGCAGCTCAGAAATCAGGGCAGCTGCGACGTTGCGGCCTTCGCTCTCCAGCTCCACACAGTGGCCCTGTTCAGTGATGCAAAGGAATCGCGCAGAGAGCAGCTTACCATCCACCAGATTCTGGAACCACAGCATGGCTTCACTGGTCCACTCTGAACCCAAGGGCTCCACACCTGAATCCACATGAAAACAAACATGAGAACAACACAAATGTACCTTAGAGACACAAACGCACTGAGAGACTTAACCTGAGAGCCAGCAGCGGAGGCTTTGGAAGGGTAGTGTCAGAAGTTGGGGCTTGATGTATCTCAGGTGCTGTCTTTCCACCTGGATGGTATAACCATAGTCCACCAAGTTTACAGACACAAGGTTGCCTTGCAGTCTTTTTACAATTGCCCGATACCAGGATCTATCAGCTGGGCGTGGGGGGTGGCGGGGCAAAAACAAATAAAATTAAATCTGATGAGAGGACATACAGATGTAGTTTTTTTTTCCTGAAAAATGCTATTTAAGAACCATTTATAAGTAAAAGTATATTTTAAAAAAAGTTTTTTATTGTTTTTTTATAAGTAAAAGTATATTTTAAAAAATGTTTTTTATTGTTTTTATTTTGAAAAAAAAAAAAACACTAAAAGTTTTCAATCTCACCAGGGCACATGGCACAACATGGCTCTCCCACTTTGGGCTCAAACAGTGCGTTATCTGCCTCACAATGCAATTTCAACTCAGCCTCAACATCTCTCAGCATCTGACGGTCTGACAAACAAGACAGAAAGAGAGAGATAGAAATGTGAAAAATACATCAAACACTGTGTAAATGATGATAAGCTGTAATTAAACCATTATTTTTTATTCATTATGACTTCCCCAAGAGGACATGTTTACCTTTAGGATTGTCAATCCAGCAATAGAATTCTCCTGGGTTTACCACAAAACTAGTCAACAGCGCCACTCTCTGGCCATCAGAGGGAACTTCAGTAAAAGACCACAAGGGCTCAAGGGAAGCAGTAGACACTGGGAAGCACATTTCAAACGAACAAAACAACATCCTGAATATATGTCTCGTTCTTTAAGGAAAATTGAAAAAACTCCAGACATTTTTACCGTGCGGCTGGACAGGTTTCTCCTGGTCAGTGCTGATGGTCACAGGCAACTGTGCAGCATATGCACCAGCAACTAGCAGCTCAGCTATGTTGGCCTGAGGATCGCTGCTCTCATCGATCATGTCCACCAAGACTTTGTCCTCTTGAACTTCCTGAATCTTTATGCAAAGTAGTCTGTTTGATACTCGTTGCTGCAGGTCCACGAGACACCCCTCTGACCATCTGTCACCAATTGGCCTGACCCCTGGTAGGTAAAGCAAAGACATCTGACTGTGTCTGGAAACAGACTATACAGTGACTGAAAAAGATTCAAAATAAATACCAGCAAGACCACAAGGAATGGCCTGTATTGGCACAGCCAGTAATGGAGCACTAATAGGCCGGAGGTGTTCCAATTTTGCCATCTCGGAGTTTCCAAAATCAAGATAGTCAACGCAGACGTGTTCTTCAGATGGATAGCTAAGGACTTTTGCTCGGTACCACTGGTTGTCCTCTGGAAAAAAAAAAACCCAACACATTAAAATTGTGTTTTTAAAACTAACGTTTTGGGAGCTCACAGCTTGTACACATATTAGCGCTTGTAATGGAATGTGTTCTAACTGAACCATTTTGTAAAGAATCTTCAGGACATATTTACAGTAAGCCATGCTTTATACCATGGCTTGGTTTTTAAGCAATTTTACATTATATACGCATTAATATTTACCTGAGAACTGGGCACAACAAACCGTGCCGGGAGCAGGTCTGAAGTTGAGGGGGACTGGAAGTTGCCAGCAGTGATCCCTAAGGTTTAACTGCAGCTCCTGAATGACCCCTGAAAACCCAGAGCTTTCAAACTAAATATCTTGATTGGCCGGTTTATTCAAAGGTTTCAGAACCAGTAAATACATTTTTTTTACCAGCTTGTTCCACCTTCTGCACAATGATCTCATCAGGCGACTGGAGGTGAGTGATTACAGCAGAAAAAGAATCACCGACCGCCTGCCTCAGAGGCTCAGGAGGCCGAGCCCATGAGTTGTCATTGTTGTCATCAGAGCAGAGCTTGACATTTTCCAAGGCCACACTTGTCACAGTGTCTAAAGAAGACCAGGCAGTTGGTGTAAAGAGTGAACGGTGCGACTGCTCTTCATAATATTCTGATGTAGTTCATTATTATATTGTGTGTTATCTGCTATTAAATCAACTTAAATAACTATCATTAATCACCACCATCTGTGACTCTATCTACATTCAATTAGACAAAATGAGATACTTACTTATGTCATGCTGGGTTGGTTTTGAAGGTTCCTCTTTTGCAAAACCATGTTGGAGTAGAATCCTGCTCAGTTTGTTTCCTTGATCGATAAATAAAAAGCAAAAAAAAAAACAAAGTTTCTTAATCCTTTTTTTTATCTGTTGTGTTTTTCACCTTTCAACAACATACCCGCTGGGAGAAGAACTTCCACAGCATGAATGTGACCATTTTGTAAAATGTCCAACGGTTGAATAATGACCATGTTGCCGGTTAACAGTTGTCTCACTGCCAGACAGCACTCTTTTGACCAGGTGTCAGCTGATGGCACTACGCCAAAGATGCAGCACTCAATCGCCTGGACACACAGCAAACACTACAGTAGTTATGTCAGCTGTGAAACACTACACACATACACGATAAATACATTGAAATGAGAGGCTGTGCTCTGCAAGGGTATTTACTAAATGTTGAGATGTGGATTTAAATATTTTGATGATTGAATGTTTCAGTGAAAAAGCTAATTTTCACAATTACTGGAAGTTGTGCAATGCCAACAGTGAGTGAAGATTAACTCACACATGGAGGAAATGGCTTAATACTTGTACAAAGCGGTTTGATTCGGTCCACAGGTACATTCTCTTCATTGCCAAAGTCGATGTAAAGGATTTTTGCCATCTTCTGATCAGCAGTTAAGGTCTGGACCAGGCCTCTGTACCAGTGCTACACATAAGAACAAACGCAAACACACATGTAACTCCCTTAAATATAGAACTTACTGTAAGCTCTGCAATGCCACAACGGCCTCTGCTTACCAGGTCATAGGAGAACTGAACTCCACAAATTTCCCCGACGCAAGGCAGATACGGTGTCATTGAGGGACCCTTGTCCCTCCCTTTCTGGAGACTTTTGCTAATTATAAGGAGAGTTTCTTGCTGCTTGCTGCCCTGGCCTTGGACATAAAACCTGCCAGGACTGTAGAACTCTAACACCGATGCCTTGAAGGAACAAAGAGTAAACACCAACACTTGGGCAACTCGAATGTAATGTAAGTAAATTCCATACATAAATGTGTCTCTGTGTGACAGAAATTACCTTAAATTCTGTTGCTGGCATATCTTTATCGATAATAAGGTCTTTCAAATACATCCTCTGGTAGCTGGGTGTATGTGCAGGCTTTTAAGAAAAAAATCATTAATATCTGAATATTTTAAATGTCTTTTTTTCCTACAGCTGTACAGTCGCTAAATGTTCCAATTCCATTACCTTTATCTGACGTGTGGGGTGACTAGACACAGACGTATCTGTGATATCTTGAGGTTTCTCTCTTTGGGTTAACATTAAAAAAAAGGAATTTTTTTGACTGTGCATAATGTGTACATTTCTAAGAACATAAAAACAATTCAAAGCTTCCTTACTCAACAGTTTCTGGGTCAACCAGTCTGCAACAGTGTTTGTGCAACTTCCAGTCCTTCGTCTGGCAAACAATTGAGCAGTAAGAGGCTGACTGGCAGCACTTGCACTGAAAATGTCCTGTCATTAAACCACGCCAAATAAGTTTAGTTACATGGTAATATTGTAAAACAACAGATTGGTAACTTTGTTATGGCCAATACATTGGGTTGGATTATGGTAATTCATAACACGTCTTAAATATTTAAAAGGAAACATCCATAATGACATATCAGTATGAATGGAAAGCTTTAAACTAATGACACCACAATGGTGTTGGGGTTACCTTGCTCACCACAGTAGTTGCAGATGTGTACAGTCAGCTCTGGTGGAACAGATCCCAACAGCTAAGAAGATAGAAAAACTGTTTAAGAAAAACATCTGGTTTCTAATCAGTAATAAGATTAATTTCTTGCATTTACTTACAGAGGGAATTCCAAGAACTGGAGTATTTACAGGACCTAAAAAAAGGGACAATTTCCTCTCTGAATGAATAAATGAAGACTTTGACAAAAGACTGCAAAGTTATTTTCAATCAGTAAAATCCCTTCATCTTAAATACTTTATAAAGAAATAAATGAGAGGCTAAGGCATTTATAAGAAGTGGGAGAAACAATTGATAATTTAAAAAAATAAAAATTAATTGATCCAAGGAGTAATTGTCAACAAGCAACCTCCACCCCTATATGTTTCAGACTTCACAAACTTAATATATGGCAACAAAACTCACACATTACATTATGAGCTGTATCATTATGCACAAGTACTCACCTCCTGTCACATTCAGATTAGATGGTGGTACTTTACCTCCTGTGGCACCGATCCCACTGAGTTTCCGATGAGTCGATGATGTACGAGTATGTGTGGGGCTCGACGATGGCTTCCTCAAGGGCAAGTTTGGTTCAACCATGTTTCGGGAAAAGTGGCGATTCATGACTAATGTCAACCTATTATTACACAAAATGTAAATAATAAAGGCTACAACACTTTTTTCGTCGTATTTCAAATACTGCGTCATTAGCAAGTAAACTTGGCAGCAGCTTGGCAGCGAACATTAGAAATTTATGATTAACCAATCAGCGCTTCACTGACCCTCTGCGACTATTCAACAGCAAACACAACTGAAATTATACTAAGCTACTTTGTACATTATTTTTTTTAATTATATGTTCTTATTTTGTCTCGTGTCGGGCATTTTTGTTGCCCATACCTTAACTTACCGTCGCACGTGTGAGGAATTCTGTATAATGTAATGCGCATGCGCAATATCCCTTGCTCGCGTAATTCCCTTGTTACTGTACAGAGCAATTAATTAATTTTGGATTTTGGAAATATAGTCGCTATATTTTATATTTTATCACAACAGCCCCCCCAAAAAGATTTTTTTTCACAACTCAAATACATTTGGTAAAAATTAGTGACCATTATTACTTTTCTTAGTAACATACAGCAGACGTAGGGGATTTGCACGTTTCAAAAACATCTACCAAGATATCAAAACCATTTTTCTTTGTCAAATCTCTCATCTCTCAGGAAAAAGGGAAATAAGTTGTAAAGCTTCAGGGCATTTACTGTAAGTGCCCAATCATAAGATTGTGGGTTTCACGAGGCTGACCTTATCTTTGCATGTCTGTAATCTGTTTCAGTGCCGATATATTGTGTTGTTAAAAAGTCACCTCTTTAATGTGTGTTGGTGAGTCTAAACAGAGACATTTTAATGATGTAATCAGCAGTGATTTGAACGGGTTGACAATTAGTTTTTCCACGTTAGACTGGTCTTTCAAAATAATTACATACTGTATTTCAACCTAGACATTTTAAACACTTTACAAAACAAGACATAGCTACCTTTGCACACACTTACATATAAATTAATATTTGTTTTGTAGTTTATTAATAATTTACTTTTACATTTTCTGGAAACCATTGCGCTGGGTGTGGGCTGACGTCACATCAACGTCACTTACCTCGCCCTTTCATTGGCCCACTTGCCTCACCGTTTCTCGCCTAGTGGCCATATTTGTTGATGTGTCATATGAAAGTGACTTGTTGAGGTCCATCAGCTGGGTTGACGGCGAAGCCGTTGTTGGGCTCTTTGGAAGTACATCATGGCCTGTTCATACTCGGTGAGTAAAAATACAAACATTAATTATAGTACCGAGTCTCTATTTTGTGTAAAAACATAGCGTTAGCATAGCGTTAGCCATGCTAGCTGAAGGCTGTCCAGCTGGGACTGAGTTACCTGTTCTTCCTACTAGGAAAATTTGCCTTACATGTCTCTTGGTAATATTTCTGTGTGGTAAATATTTAACGTCTTTCGGTTTCGGTGATTACTGTACTGCGTGCTGATATCGTCGTTGTGGTTCAATACATTGTCATATCTGCCGACACAGCTAAGGTGCTAACATCAGCATTAGCCCTCAGAATTAACGTTAAATTAACAACAATACCTCGAAGAAGACAAAAGGCACTAATGCAATTGTGCTGTGTGGTCAGCGAGAAGCTCTCTTCATATATTTAGGCTTATTATTTTTTTCTGTTGACAGTGCTATGACATGACACCTGTCACAGTAGCGGGAGCCTCAGTATTTGCATTCGTTCTGGCTGTACACTATGCTTTTCTTCATGTACAATAGAAATGTCGCCTTATTTAACTGATTTGTGACAAGAAATATGCAGTAAACGTACTATAAAATAATATCTAGTACGTGGCTTTGAATGTGTAAGACAAATCTTGCAGCCGAAATACTGTCGTAGTCAAGAAACAAACTGTGGCTACTAGGAAACGGATACATTACAAAGAAGGGGATTTTAGATCAAGAATCGGCCTCACCTGCTATTGTCTTTCTGTAACCAATACAATAAGCCAGGACAATAACACAGAGACATCTAAAGTTTTAGTAAATAATTTCAGAAACTATACAGTTAGCTACCTTTAGCTAAGTTTAATTAATCATTAATTGAGTTTAATGTTCTGTTTACCAGGCAGTTCTCTTTCATTAAGGCTTGGCTACAAATGCTCCATAACAGTGACAACCTGCTATAATGAATTATGCAAGACCAACGAGACCAACACCACTTTAGGATGAGAGAGAGCTTATTTTATTTTTCTAAATAACATTATGTTGATTGGGCTGGAAATTAAAGTCTCTTAAGTGGACATCCAACTTGATATACAAACATATGATAGATGAAAGGTCAACATGGATTCATATATGTTCATATTTCTACAGTAAACTGTGAAATAATGGTAGTAGATAAAATGTTTACTTGTACTTGTTTGTAGTACTTTCTGATGGGACATTTTAAATCTCTAAAAAAAACTTCAAATTGTTTGTTTTTGGGCTTGCGTGGATTTTAATTCCTTCCATTAATTTTTATTCAATTTTTTTTCTTTGTTAATAATACATCTCAGCTGTTTGTGCACAGGTTATGCTTCAATAACCTGTCATAAATATTTGTAGTACTTGATTTTGAAGAGGAATGAAGGCTCTGTAATCATGTTGAATAGCTGTCATAGTTGTATGACATACTGCAACACACATACCTAGAGGTAATACGTCACAGGCAAGGACACGCCACACCTCTGTGTGTTTAATTAGCATGCCCTTAAGGTGATGTATCAGGTAAACTTGCAGTACAAGTATAAGAAAAGAAGAGATAATGTGCATGTCGGAACTGACTATAATCCTTTTTTGGTGGCGACGGGACAACTGTCGCTAGTGTGTATAACGGGCATATCTTTGCTTTTTTTGCAGGCTTAACCTAGAGAGGCGACCATTGACCTGTCAGGTCCAACTTCAGATGAACAAAATATGGATGGATTAGAAGCTGAACCTCTGCCCGAGGGCTCTTCTGTTTTAAATCAGCCCAGCATCAGCACAGTCAACACAGAAAATGAAGATCAAGTGAATCACAAAAGTGCAGAGGAGGAAGAAACATGCACCCTTCCAAAGAATGGAGTAGCGCCTGAAGGCGAATTGATGAAGACTGATGAGTCAGACACTCAATCGTGCACTCAGGAACAGGTTGAGGGGACAGTGGCGTGTGCCGATTCTGGCTGTCATGACAGTACTGTTTTGAAAGACAGTGGGACATCTGTGTTATCCAGTGAAATTGGTGGAACTTTAGAAGTGCAGTCCAACTCCATCTCTTTGGATGATGTAGTAGAGAACTCTCCATCTGTTCTTGAGGGTACAATAGAGACAATAGTGAGCTTTGAGGAAGTAAACAATATCCATTCCACAGTCCCTGACTGTATTGAGCAGCTACGAGTTTCTACTTGTTCTGCAAATCCAGCGCCTGTTAACGAGGATGATCTAAGTGACAGTCCTTCATCCACTTCCAAAAGCCTTCCCATTGACTCCACCACAACATCTGGTATATCTAATGGCCCCTCGACTCCCAACTCTGATACAGTCAGTTCATCTCTTCCTTCCAGCCCACAGACATGTAGTAACGACACACCGCCCCAAGATTCAACATCCAGCCCTTATGACACTGACTGCACCCGCAATCTAATTTCCCAGATCCAGCGCTCACTGTCACAGGAGTCACTGTTGGATGAGCTTGAGTCAGAGCTTCTGGCTTGTCAGCTGCCTGAGGGGAAAAGTGGTGGCGAGAGGAAAGGGAGCCCGCCTGTCAATGGACTTCCCAGCGACCAGGAGGGTTGCATGATGGTCTTTGAGAAGTGTGTGCAGTACAAGTATGCACAACAAGAGAAAGCTATACAGAGGTAAAAATCTTCTTCTTTTTTTTTAATTCATTCAAACTTGAACCTAATCCAAACCCACATGTTGGATATTAAAAATAAGTGAATAAAAGTGAATTATTGGTCATAGTCAGTGGTGACTGGGATTTATAAATAATTTACAATATTATTGATGTTTCATTAGTACCATCTTTACGATTCCTTTACATTTAAATCACTTCCATGTCATCAGTGGGGTTTATGTCAACAAGGTTGACAAAATAAAATGTAACATTATAATTGCTGCTTACTGTTATTTTGTGGAGATGATCAATGTGACTATTCCTCAGTTGTATTATTACTGCCTTCTGTAACGTGTGAGGTACACCTGCAACAGAAGGAAGGAACAGTTACTACTGTTTAAATCCCTTACCATACGCAGGGGAGTTAGCAATTAAGTTTAAAGAAGAAGTAAAAGAAAAAAAATAACGCTTTTACTATTCACATGATATAGAGTTGCTTACGTTTTTGGATCCTCTTTCTTTCTTGGGTTTATTTTCTAGGTTGCTCGAGGAGAACAAAAGACACCAGGAGCTGATCCTGGGTATCTGTTCAGAGAAGGACAACATGAGGGAGGAGCTGAAAAAGAGGACAGAGACAGAGAGGCAGCACTTGGGCATCATCAAAAAAGTAAATTAGGCCATTATTCACTGATGTATTTTTTTCAAAACACAAAACACTAGACCCAACCATAAATGTGCGAGGACAGGCTACACACTGGACAGTTCACACAAACATTTATACCTAAAATCAACCGAATCCCCTAATTTTGGGCTGTAGTAGGAAACCAGATTAAAAGGGGGAAAACCTACACTACACCATTCCGATGTGTAATTTTCACAAACCGCCTAACTTGAGTCTTCTCCGTTACTGTAGTTGGAGACCAGGGTGGAGGAGCTGATAAAGGAAGTGAAGGATTCAAGGGATAGACAAATCCACCAGGACCAAGCTGCTAAGGCTGCCCTCCAGCAGATTCAGAAGGAGACGACACAAAGGCTGGAACAGGTAAAACTGGTGTCTTGATACTCGTAAACTTCTTTTAAAGTCAGGACGAACTGCATTGTTTTCTTTTAGTCTTGCTTATCCTTTTAATCCTGCTGCGGTACCTGTACTCTGCAGTTTCTGTTGTGTTAGTACAGTAGATTGTTCTTTGCACTAAAGATTAGAAAATAAAAATGTGTAGACTAATGAGCAGAATTATAACCACAGAAAGAAACAGTACTTACATGTACTCCAACTTTCATCCAAATTCCGAAAAATGCAGATTAGGAACTAGGTACAATAAATCACAAACTTTATTGTCCTGCTGTGGGATTTGCCTTCCCACCCTGGAATCCTAGAAAGGATACAGCATTAAAGTTTGGGAACCACTGCGTTAGAGAATTGATATATTCACGGAGATACTTACAGTACTGTTTATGTATTTTGTTTTTTTCAGAGCACTCAGACTTAAACTCATTTGCGGTAGTAGGGCCACAGGAAACGTTTCAGACAAAAATAAAAAACAATCAATTTTGAAAACCTCAGTGCATCAGTGTGCCTTTTCACTCATTCACAACACTTAGCATTAATAATGAATGAATACTGTGCATGCACTTCACTATAAGCATCTGTGAAGGGAAAGTAACAAATTTGCTGTTTCGCTATGTAAAATAGCAAAACATAAATATACAAATAAATTACCAATGCAGAAAAACACCATCACGGACAATGTTGACTACTAATATGCAGAGTCACATTAAAAAATGTTACCAAAGATAACAGTGTTTCACTGAAAGTGTTTAGACAACAAACCAGCGTTTCTGCAGATTTGATACCTCAAAGGGACCAGATCATGTTCTCCATCCAACAGCTGAAGCTCCTGGCTCAAACCATGTGCTGTACTATTTCTTTTGACACTTTTGCCACACTTGACCATTTTTAATTTCACTGCTCACTGAACTATGTGATGTAGTGTGTGCACGTAGTCATTCCACTCTAGATTACAGATTTGTCAGACATCCATAGCGTGAGGACACTGACCCAGTCCTAATCATCTGTTCACTGAAAGGTTTTCATATTCAATTTATATATCTTTCTTTCTTTTTTTTTTTTGTAAAACTTTAGTCACACTGATATACTGTAGCTGAGGCACACACTTCAGTATAAAATAAGGCTTTGTAAAATACATTCTTAAGAAGACATTCAAAACACAAGCATTTTCACTTCCTGCATAGACACTGTGATCCATTGGGCAGAGGGTGCACTGGAACATTCCTTAAAAAAAGTGGAAAATTTGCTTCTCAATGGTATGAGGAATGAACACAGACATGTGAGGCTGTAGAGAAGTCACAGAACCAAGTTGAACTGTCTGGGCCTCTCAGCAAGTTGAAACTAAAAAATTAAAATAAAAAAAAATTCTTTACTTTATATTTGTAGCAACATTTCCATGTACACGTTATATCAGTGTTATAAGTGTTGAATGTTAGGATTTTCTGCTTGAAAAAAACATTCAAACACAAATAATCATTATCCAATCATAATGCTTCTGTAGTTATAGAGCGCTGCTAGCTCGTTAGGGTTAATTGATGGCACCTGGCTCAGCTTGGCCAAGTTTTACTTTTCAAAATAGAAAAGGAAACACTGTGTCATTCTTAATTTCCAATTTGGTAAGAGCTGTGTAAGGTTAAAAACAAACTTACAAATACAGGGTAAGTCACTGTAAGAGAATTAATTGTTGTGCAAAATAACAAACTATGTTGTGGTTGTATTTGTGAGGCAAGACATCAAAACAATTAACATTTCCATTTATTTCCAGGTCTTTTTTTGTATCCTGCTGCATGTACAGCTCTGTGAGTTAAATGTGAAAAATATTTTACTACCAAATAATGATGTGCAGCAAATGTCCTTCCCAGGCAAACAGGAAATGTGACGAGGCCCGCCAAGAGAAGGAGACAATGGTGATGAAGTATGTGCGAGGGGAGAAAGAAGCTCTTGACCTGAGACGGGAAAAGGAGGCGCTGGAGAGGAGGCTGAGGGAGGCCACGAAGGAGGTAGACCGACAGGCGCTCAGAGGAAACCAGCTGGCCCAGGAAAAAGGCCGACTGCAGCAGCTGTTTGAAGCTAAGGTAGAGACTGTATTCTGTTCTGCATGCTGTCGGTTGAGTCATTTTTAATGTTCACAAGCTTCACAGCAAAATTAAAACATTAAAATTTACAGTAGTTCTGAAAAATAACACATTGCTAATACAAATGCATGCATTTCTGTTTAAGTGTCTTTTATGGCACCTGAAAACATTGCCTTGTTGTGGAAATGATGAACTGTACATTATGAAATACGTGTTGATCAATTCCTAGGCTCATCCAAAATGTTTCTTATAACAGGAAGGTGAGGTGGTGAGGTTGACTCGAGAAGGAGACAAGTTAAAAGAGGAGATCAACTCCCATCTCATAAAAGTCAAATGGGCACAGAATAAACTCAAGAGTGAAGCGGATGCACACAAGGTAACAATCTCCGTTTTGCAATAAAGTTGTTGATTAGGAAACATGCTGAAAATACACTATATTCATACAAACCTATTCATGAAACATACATGTTATTAAGCGCTGCCCAATTAGTGTATTTTTTTTTTATAATTGTTCACAATTTTGCAAATCTCTACAATATACAATGGACAGAGGCATTAATCAAATCCAGGCTTATATTGCAACATTCATTAATTCATAATCGGTGACAAAACAAAATTGAGGCAGTGTAGTAGTGTAGATCATATGAGTTTGTTGATCATATGAAATTTAACCAGTTATGTTGATTGCCTTCATTTTTCACCAATATAATATTTGCGTTGTCATCGGCTGTTGTTAGAATCCAAATGACTTTCCTCTCACTCATTTTTTAAACACTAAGAAAAACATGACATGATGGAGTGTTTTGATTTGGCAGAAATGAAATGAGGTGAAAATGGAACAGTAATGACCCTGCACAAAAGAAATTATCAACAATGTCATTGTATTGATAACTGCCTCATGGGAAAATCAACTACAGACAATTCCATCTGTAGCATAAGACCACAATGTCTTCTCTTCAGTCATAATTTCTACAAATTTATGTCTGTACACGGCATTTCAGAATCTGCTAGTTGTAAAAAAAAAATTTTTAAAAAATCTTATTTTCATCTTTGTGCAGGAGACAAAAGACAAGCTCAGAGAGACCACATCCAAATTAGCCCAGGCCAGAGAGGAGACAGAACAGATCCGAAAAAACTGCCAGGACATTATCAGAACGTACCAGGTCTGTATTTATCACCTCACCACATGAGGATGGATTCACTGTGCGCCAACACAGAAGATCGTCTCCCAGTGTCAGGCTGCATGCCTCTGTTTTTGTGCATTCATGTCTGCTGTGCTAATCTCATAGTCCTACAGTTAATTGACATTAAATGAAATACAGTAGAGTGTTGAATGAACAAACCAAAACTGTGAAGAAGGCAGTTTGTGTTTCATCGGAGAAGCAGTTTTTATTTTTACCTTAGGATGGTAGCAAAGAGCTGCTTAGGTTTTATTTGTGGTTTGGTGGTTAAGAGATTCAAGAGGTTTAAAAGTAATGTAATAACATAACATAATTAAATTGCGTACAGGGGCTATAACCTCAACTGTAAAGGCTGTAATACAAACACATTCCTCATGGACGTCAGCTTAATTACTGAAAACGTTAACATTAAAACTTTAAATAACAACATCACTAATCTGTTTGTCTGGCACATCCATTAGGTGGAAAAGGGAATTAATGCAGCTTCATGACTTTTTGATAAGCATAGGTATTTACATAATAGTACATGGGTGTACAGCCTATATCCCTAGAAAGATGCTGCTCCTATTGAATGTTTTTTTATTTTTTTATTTTAACCTTCTAAATGTTAACGCTCCCCTGCTCTGTCCCACAGGAATCAGAGGAGCTCAAGTCCAATGCGCTTGACGCAAAGCTGAGGGAGACCAAAGGAGAGCTAGAAAAACACAAGCAGGAACAAACAGACCAATTAGAGGTGACTGCCATGACGCACACTCAATAACACTACCCCACTTACTCACAAAAGCCTGAGGCAACCCCATTCCTTTTATATCCACAACATACAGTAACTAACACAGGCATCACACAATGGTTTTATTGTGTCATGACTGTGGACAATGTCCATCCTTGATGAATGATTAGAAACCCAACGTTGTCAGTATCACAGATCACTACTTATTCATTATTCATAATCTGTGTTTGGCCTTGATCTCGCTGTTTTGCAGCTCTTTTTTAATCAGTAGGAGAGGCTTAATTGCCCGAGGAAAGAGCGATAAGGGCACAAAGACTGCAGGAACATATTCATGAAAACAGGCACAGGCGTGGCCTTGGTCCATCAACACTGGCCTGGTTTACTCTCCGTCCTGTTTGAACCTCATTTCAAAATAAGTGACCTGGAAATAATCAGTGTGAATTGAATTGATGGGGTTGGGAAAACTGCCCAGAAAGACATCAACAGTTATATTAACATTCCAAATTCTGGTTTGTTTCCCTGATTATGTGAAATGTGAAAATCAAGTTAATAGAGTCTTAAAAATAGCTTTTGACAATTTTTTTTATATTACTTTGTAAACTGGAGTCTTACTCATAGAGGCACTTGGTGTGTTGTATAATACTGTGTTTGGTCAGTACACAATTCACTCTGATTTTATAGTGCTGCATTTGTGTTAACGTACCCCAGTGTTGTGAAAACATGCAACAACTGGATACGATTGAGGCAAATATATATGTGGTATTTCTACTGTATTTGAATAAAAAAAGAAATATGAGGTTAATAAAACCCCCATCTTTTAGCAAATTATTGTATTTAACTCAAAGATTTGAAGCTCTTTAAATACAGCTAATGAAAAGGCATAAACTTCCTGGTTTGTCAGCTAATTAATTCACAAATTTCATAAAATACTGAGTTAATATTGTCTTTCACACATTCACAACCCATGAAGAAATAATCACATTTTTACTACATCGTTGGATCTAGCAGAGGACCCAACCTTAGATTGTGAAGAAAATAGAAAAGGATCAAATGGACAGAATTACTTTATTTATATCTGATTGATGATATTAACATAAATGCATTTTACAGGTCCATCGAGTCAAAGCCAAGGAGCTGGAAGACCTGAAGAGGAGTTACAAGGAAGGCATAGATGAGCTCACCACTTTACGTACCAAGGTTTGACACACAAAACTGATTTTGTATACCTTGTGTGTGAAATACGCTTGCATTTTAGGCTTAGGGGGATGTTTTTCTGGTTTAGTTAAAATGTTTGGAGGATGAGCGACCACGCTGGGAGGACGAGCTGTCCAAGTACAGGGAAATCATCAACCGTCAGAAAAATGAACTGGGTCGACAGAAAGAAAAGCTGGATGAGGTCACTGCACTTCAGGAGCAGCATGAAAGGTAGGAGCAGCATGAAAGGGACACACACACACACACACACACGCTGTGCTGATGGTTCAAGCATGAGAGCATGCAGCAGTACTGGATAAACTTGGGGAAAGAAATTCAAGTGGACACTATGAGACAGAAATCTTTGCACTGTCAAACTGTGGCTGTTATTTCTGTAATTTGTTGTGTATAATCTGTGTGGAACAGGGATACAAGAGGTTCTTCTTTGTCTGTCTTTAAATGTCTGTGTCTGTGTACCGTAATTAGGAGGCATAATTTTCATGACCATAATTTTCTTTTCTACAATGCCATCAACCAATCGTCTTTCACATTTGCTCTTCGTCTGTTTTCTTTTAAATCTGAACAGTAGTTCATAGTGGTTGTTCACTTTTAATGAGATGCAGCATTTCTGTTTAATAACTGTCTTTTCTGGTAACCCAGAGACAAACAGGAGATCGCGTCTCTTCGTGAGGAGGTGGACGGCTTCACCAACCAAATGGCTGATCTGCAGCGTGACGTACAAGGAAGCAGGGAGCGAGAGGCAGAGCTGCTGGGCTTCACGGAGAAACTGAGCAGCAAGAACGCTCAGCTTCAGTCTGAGAGCAATTCACTGCAGTCGCAGCTGGATCAGCTCACCAGGAGCTACACGGAGCTCCAAGCTAAGATGGAGGAGAGCAGCAGGCTACTGGATGACAAGGTTAGGCATTTCCAGAGTGACAGAGTCTGATGTCAAAGTGATCCATCACCAGAAAATATGCATTAACAAACAACCAGTTTTTTCAAGCAGAGGACACTTCACACAACCATATTTTTTTTTACTCTTTGTTGTGCAGTCACGGCAGCTAAAGCAGGAGGAAGTGCTGAGGCAGCAGGAGGTGCAGGCCCTGCAGGTGGAGCAGACGGTGTTGCAGAATGAGGTCGCCCAGTTAAAAACCAGAGTCGAAGAGCTGAGGGACGAGCTGGTGACACAGAAGAGAAAACAAGCCGCAAACATCAAGGACCTCACAAAACAGCTAACACAAGGTCAGGAAAAATATCTGTCTGAAACTGTATAGAAAGCTAACGGTCACTACACACACAGTTACCTCACACTGTGACATTTATTGTTTGAGCCGAAACACAAATTTGAGTTGGAATATGAGACAGATTTGTCTTTTACTGCTATGTTTTCCTTTATATGCACAAAGTGTGAGCTGAGCATGCAGTCTTCTTTCAAAGTCAGCCCGTATCAGATTTATTCCAGGAGACAGTTCTGCTTGGATGTGCCTGCTGAGTTAAGTGGAGCAGTGATGCTTAGCTTTGACTTTCACTCTCCGTTTTTGAATTTTTCTTTAAAGCTGTGCCGTCAGAAAAATTTCATATGCTATTAATTTTTGCTCCACTGCAAAACATATTCTCATTTCCAGTCTGTATTATCAGTCTTTTGCTTGGCACATCCTTGTTAAGGAATAGTTTCACAAATCAGTAAATTACTGAGCAGGAACTGAATCGACTGGCACTTTTATAATTAGTTTACTGTGTATTCGTGCATTACCTAAATGTGTTCACTTTTGATATAAAAGTTTCTGGTTCCACTCTTTAACCTTTTGTGACATAAATATTTACGTCTTGTAATTTTTTGATGAGTAAAAACTTGGGGTCAACAGTTTATTACTATCTCTTAACAGTCTGATATTTTTTTTCTTTTTTTTCTGAAGCCCGTAAAAGACTGGAGCAGACAGAGAATGGAGGTGGCGACCGTGAGGTCAGCAGTATGGGCAGTCGATCTAGCTCCTCAGGTACTGCTCCGGGATTTGGTTAGTATTTAACACATAATTTATATTGGGTGTTTTGGTCTCTTGGTATTAAGGTTCCTTAAACACTATCAAAAAGCCTTTTCACATTAATAAAAGAGAATCAGTGTTAAAGATAACTTATACTATAGTGAATATATAGTTTGACACATACTTAACACTTAGTCTTCACTTAAACCTAAAATATAAATAGCTACATTTAGTCACTGCTTGTCTCCCTTTCATTTCCAAGGTTCTCTAAATGCCCGCCAAGGCGGAGGCAGTGGTGGTGAAGAACGATCACCGGAAAGCCAGTCAGCTCCTTCCATGGTGCTGGCAGATAGCTTTCCAGAGGTGGACAAGGCTGTGCTCGTAGACCGCATTGTCCGTCTTCAAAAGGCCCTGGCTCGCAAGCAGGAAAAGATTGAGTTCATGGAAGATCACATCAAACAGCTGGTGGAAGAGATTCGCAAAAAAACCAAGTGAGTAGAAAAGACCACAGTAAGATACACCATTCTGCCTCCAACTATGGATTTGAGTTCACTTAAACTTGTATTGCAGTTTTATTAGATTGATATACAAAAGGAGACCAGGATACACCATTTCAAAACTTGACCTATAACCTGATCAACTCAATTGAATTAAAAAAAAACTTTTAGAGAGGGGAAATAAAAATGGGATAATGTGGTTGGGGATGTTTCTCCAAAAAGAATGAACGAGAAGAAAACTGGTCAGAGAGTCCAGACCTGAATCCAATCATACACCTGTGAGGTGATCTAAAGAGGGCTGTGCACAGGAGATGCCTTCACATTCGGACAGATTTAGAGCATTTTGCAGGTGTGCATATATGCTGGGTTTTTTTCCCCCTTAAAATATGTATTTTTTCAATTGAGTTTTACAGGTGATAGGTCACATGGCTAGGTGACAAAAGTTTTGAGATCATTTGTCCCAGTCTTGTTTTTTTTTTATTTCACAAAAACCTGGACTTGTTTATATCTGCTGTAGGTGTGTAATTCTAGAGACCCAGATGCGAGGAAGTTTAAAAACGTTGCCTGGTTCCTGTTGTCATAAAACTCTCCGCATTCGCAAATGAAATTTTCAGTCTTAAATCATGTTGTTTTCAGCTCTGTTAAAACATTTTCATCGACATTCATTTTCTATAGACTCTAGCACATGTACTATTTAGTTACACGTCGTGTCAGTCCTTGACCTTAATTGAAACATCTTTATATATCTGTTTCTCTTTCTCTCTCTCTCTCTCTACTTGAAATTATTTAGAAGATTGCTCCCCCTATTGTTGTAAACTCGATTAAATATCTATTCCTAAATACTGGTGAGTCCTAATGGAACCCTACTTCATACTCAGCATCACTTTAGTTGAAGTAATAAAGTGAAGGACGTTTGGACAATTTAATCACAGCAACACTCCCCGTAGTGCTCAGAATCATCAGCCTGTGCCAGGATAAACTTCAGACCACAGGTTTTCTGCATTATCTACAGAAAGTACACACATCACCCACTTAAACGTACCTTATTGATCGCCAACCGGTGTCTGGATTTTGCTTCGACTTTTTTTGCTTGTTTCTCCGCTGCAGTGTCTGGTTGAAACCATTAGCCTCAACCTACATTCAAGAGTAAAAATTGAGGACGTATCCCATGGTTGCAGCACTAAATTAAGCTCTGTCAGATCTCTGCTAAGTGGGTGGGGGTGTTGCACTTCACTAGAATGCACATGAGTTTTGAGTTTGTGCTTTTTCCTTCTCCTTCCTTTCTTTCAGGGCAGCTTGGTGAACACTAGTCAAGTTAGGTTAGTTGTGAGTGGTAGTTGGGTGTAGTTCTTGTGTAGAGGTTTATCTTATGCAGCCGGGTGTGGAGTCAACTCAGATTTTATGACCAGGGAGCTGCTGTCATTCTTATCATTTTACAAGTGGAATTGGTGCAGCTGTGTATATGCACTCACTGAGATCGGTTCAGAAATGACTAGATTTACTAGTTTGGAATTTGGCTCAAATTCACAGTTGTCAATCTGCAAATTATTTATTTGTATATTGATTTGACTTTGTGTATTGACCCAGTTAAACACATCTCTGGCGTGTACTGTAAACGACAGAAATGCCGCATTTCCCTCTTGCATGCTTCAATTGCCGCCCTGCTGTTTACAAACCATCATCAGAAAAATGACACATTTCACAGTGGTGACGTAGATGCTTCCTGGCAGTCCTTTCAAATCTGTGCGTGAAAGTCATCACACCATCTGGCTACATTTGAATTTTCTTACAATGTTTTTGTTTTTACCAAACACTATCGTGATGGAGCCGGGGTCCAAATATGGGCCCTGACGTGTGTAGTTAGAGGTAAGTATCATTTGATGTACGTGCAAACCCACGCCATTGTGTGTCTGTTTTTAGGAGTTATTGCTTTTTAGCAGAGTCTACTTTGTGTTGTTGCAACTTAAATTCATTTGTTTGCTGATTGTAATGCTTGATTGCAGCATGCAGCTTAAATAGTGCACGTCGGTTTGACTTCTGTAAGAGATAGGACAAGCAGAACTACTATATCAACCTGAAATACTATTGGAATTATACAGTGGGGCTTTGAGATACGAGTTCCACAACAGCACTTGTATCTCGATTGCATTTTCCCCATTAAAAATAACGTAAAGCTAAGTAATTCGTTCCACACCCCAGAAATATACTATTAATTAAATTAAACTAACCCCCGTATCTAAACACCAAAAGATATAAAACCAAAGATATAGGCAAATATATTGACAATTATAAAATAATAATAATTAGGAGAGAGAACGCGACCATGCTTTCAGGTGATGTCATGGATTTCATTGGGAAAAAAAACAGATTTCAGGTGATGTCATGGATTTCATTGGAAAAAAAAACAGAAATAAAAGAGAATAAAAGAGAAACTGAGACATTACCTTAAGTTTCACTTTGCAGAGTTAAAAATGCAAAAAAGGACAGAATGACTAAAACCTGCTAAAGGTGTAACAGCAGAGTCACTTTTGCAAATTTAAGTTTTACAGTATTTGTTGTAATACAACGGATAAGAGATAAACTTCAAAATTAGGAAAATACTTTAATCTACCTTTTAAAGAACAAGATATTCTTCTGAAGAGCTTTTATATACCGTTTTAAGACTGCCGTTTTTCCCCTTAACGTCTTTGAATTAAACTGTGTACACAGGTTTAATAAATCATCTGACTGGAAATCCTGCTCCCTGCTTTTGCTGGAGACATTTTTTTTTTCTGGATCCAAACGCCCTTTCCCTCTTTGGTTCAAATCTCTCAACTGTCCTTGCCGTGTACTGTCCACTGATATTGTTTTTTTCCCTCCATATTTCCTCCATTTGTAAGAAAATGTTCAGACTGTTGTTACTCTTTTGCAGAATTATACAAAGCTACGTGCTGAGAGAGGAGTCAGGAGCGCTGTCGTCAGAGGCCTCTGACATTAACAAGGCCCACTTGAGCCGACGCGGGGGCATCATGGCTTCGCTTTATACCTCCCACCCGGCGGACAGCGGGCTGACCCTGGATCTGTTGCTGGAAATTAACAGAAAGCTGCAAGCAGTACTGGAGGACACGCTATTGAAGAACATTACTCTGAAGGTACAGTGAGCCGTCTCCCTGGAGTCGGTGTCTGAGCGAATCATTCTGTGCACTCACACAGACAGTACAAATGTTAACAGTGATCTCGAGTCATTAATAATAATAATACATTTTATCATTGACTCCACCATAAAGAGCATTCTATGGCTTGTTTGTTTATGAAGCTCATTTTGAGGTTGCAGCTTTAAATCATCAGTTACATTAATGTTGATCTGTAGCCATAAATGTCTTTCTAATGGTGTTCTGTCAAACTGTAGTGACCCATACATGACCTTATCAACACATGGTAGCTGGATTATGGATGATAACGAGTCTTCTTCTGAAGACTTTGTTCACTGGATTAGTGCTCCAACTGCTAAACCCAGCAGTTCAGGTGATAGCAGGCTCGCTGTAGCGCTTTAGCATCACCAGGGTTTACTCATTCTGAATAGCGATGAAGAGCCGACTTTGGTTCTCACGCTCTGCACAGTGAGGATGAAATCCCACTTTAACACAGCACAAGGTTTCCTAATAAAAAAAAGAAAAAAGATTTGTTGTAGTTCAAATAATAATGATGTTCTTGTCTGATTGTAAAAATATACATGAAGTCAATATGGACCATACAGTGGATTAGCGAGTGGTACTCTTGCCTTACTGCAACAAGGTCATCACATCAACAAATGTGTTGGCCCCTAGTGGTACCTTGTTTTCTTTGGTACAGCGTCAGGATGCTCTCCCTCTGATTTTACGAGGAAAAAAAAGAGATTTTGTTGTTTGGTCATTTGAAATTACAACCTTTATTTTCAGTCACAGCATTTACTGTTTACTAAAGTCGCTCTTTGCTCATATAAGGAGTCCTCTTAAAAGATGATTAACTCTAATCTAATTATCTGATCGTCTCTCATTAGCTGCTAAATATGCCACAATCATTAGCTAGTTGCTAAATTTAGCCTTTGCGGGGGAACAACGGCACGTAGTATTTTTATCTGTTCAGTCACTGTGCTCTGTTATCAGTTTGTGCATAATTGTGAAATCATATTTGTGATCGTGTATAGTCAAATGTATGTATTTATAGTACAACCTGGTCAGAATACACATTATCAGTCAGGTGCCGGTCAAATCTGTAGTATTCAGAGCCGGATGTTGTTTTGTCTGTTTGCTGCGTTGTATCGTCAGTGACTGGTGTTGATCTGCGGCGAGCCTTTGACATTAAAACGATGAAGCGAATGTCACTCGAGTGACATTTTGTGAATGTGAAATGTATTTGTCGCCGAAATGTCACGTTTGAGTTTAAATGTCCTGTTTCTGATGGGCAGGAAAATCTACAGACACTGGGCGGTGAGATCGAGAGGCTCATAAAACAACAAAGGAACCCCGAGGACGGAGTGAAGAGGAAGTGACCAAACTAAGTCT